GAAGACTTATGAATGTGTTCCCTGTGTTATATAGGTACAAGATTTAGTTAGTCTTGCGTGACTCGACAGGAGAAGCACCTTTTATTGTTTTTGGGCCAGCTGGTAATAATCTGGTGTTCACGTCTGCCCATGTACTTGCTCAGAGATATCCTCATAGAACTGGCCAGCTGCCACCTGAGCTGAGTAATTTGATAGGCCAGTTTGTGAGGTTTGAAGTTAAGCTTCCTATGATGAGTGCGAATGGAGTATCCACTGGAGAGTTCAGGGTGTTCCGTGTGCTTCCTCAGGATAATCAGGGTCTACTACCCACTGTTGTTGCTCCAGTGCAGACAATTACTGATGGAACCCAGGGGCAGCTTGCTTTGCAAGGCACGAATGAACAATGTGGAGTGCTTATGTTGACTGGACCAACTGAATCATTACCTGTGAGCAGTTCTGTGTCTACTCCATCAAGGTTTGAAATTTCCCTTTCAGTGTTTTGATGGTCTCCTGACGATTACCTCCTGTTGATGTTTGGGTTGTGAGTTCAGAACTTGTTGTTTTGTTGTTTGCCAGTTCGACCAAGGGCAAGGCAAAGGTTTCTCGACCACTGTTGTTTGAGAACAGCAATCCAACTTTCCAGATTGGGCAGGCCAGCCTCTCAGGTTATTTCTTGAATTTCTAAGCTGTTTTTATTTCACGTTGCCTGGGTAACTTCTTATGGATCTTGTCTCATTTTACAGTCGGTATCAAGGTCCGTTGGTCGCTGGGGGGGGGGTGCTGGTCATGTGCCTTTGGGAACTCAAACTTTATCACAACCCATTACCATCAGAGCTTCTTCTGTACCTGCCAAACAGCCTTCTGTGTCAGCTGTTCTCGGAATTCAGAATCCAATCCTTGGAGTTCCTGCAGGCTCACCAGACCCTGTTCGTCTGGGGTTTGTTGGCGATAAAAAAATTCCTGAAATTAGGCCATCTTTGCCGCAGGGTAGTGTTGTTGATTCAATGAGTTCGTGTGAGCAACCCTCTCTGCCTTCAGCGGGTGAAGTTGGGAAGGAGTTTGGGACTCCTAAAAGTAAGGTTGGTAAGTCATTATCTTCATCGGGTACAGTCATGGAAGAGATTGGAACTCCTCAGAGTAAAATTAGCAAGACATCATCTACATCAACACCCTCTTCATCCCCGTCGGCAAATCTGTAAGCCGTTTTGGTTACTATATCTTTCTGCAACTGTGCTGGAATGTGACCTTTTTTATTTTTTATATTTTATATTAATCTGATTTCTTTCAAATGATCCAGGTTGGTGTCACCGCTGGCAAAGGTGAAGGTTGAGAAACTGGAATCTTCAGGATCTAGGGGACCTGAAAGTGGAAGCTCCGACGGACCTGCTCAGAGTCCATCAGCCTTCTCGCTTGAGAACATAGCTTCGCCACAGGCATCTATCAAGAAATCCTCGGCCAAGCGTCTCCTGTACGAGAAATAAGGTATTGGGTGTGCTTACAACATTGCATCCAAAATTCCAGTGTTCTGTTATCGTGCAATCTCATCCCAGGATTGGTTTGTCATGAACAAAATTTTGTTTGTCTATATTACTTTGTAGGATCACTGATAGACCGTCATTTACACATGTTTTTACCCCCGTTCTTACACCGTTTGAGGTGTTGATTCTCGTGTTTTAGGTCGATTTCGCGCTAGGGTGTGCTTGTTTGTGATGTTTCAGGTCCTAGTACGTGAATGAAGGCTTAGGAGCGAGTCTGGGGTCGATTGGACGAAGAACGGACGAATGGCGAGGTTTTTGGGAGCTGCACGGGCAGACCAGGGAGGCTGCACGGCCGTGCACGGTTGCAAGTTGGCCGTGCACCTTGTGCCGAGGCCACGCACGGGCAGACCGTGAAGATCGCACGGCCGTGCACCCTGGCCGTGCGAGAAGCCTGAGGCCGACTTAATGATACGGCTGCGTTTTGGAGTGCACGGCCAGAATGGTGATATGCACGGCCGTGCACCCTGGCCGTGCGAGTCGGTAAAGCCTGGTTTTAGAGCCTATTCCGAGCCAGAAGGGGGAGAATCGTGTTTTCAGAGCAAAAACAGAGCCCTGGAGAGAGAAAGTGCGAAGAACACATCCTAGAAGCTGTCTTAGAGCTGGATTTCATCGAATCGAGCTTGGAGATCGTCATAGGAATGGAAATCATCGTCCCGGAGCAGATTATCCTCATCGTTATGAGTATGACTAATCCGATTCTTGTTTTCTCTTCTCTCTCTCTATGGAGTAGAACCCTTCTCTCACTTGGGTATGAAGAACCCTAGTTCCTTGTGTTAGGGATTTGATTGTAATGACTTGGGATGATATTACTGTTTGATTTTAATCGAATGATGCATGTTTATTGAATTGATTTGAGTCTGATCAGCTTTTCTCAATTTCTGCTGCAACCTGAGATAGATAGAATCTGATTAGGTTGTTAGAGCCTCTTCATTCGATAGTAGGAGGTTGGCTATACGAGAGTTAGCCCGTTTACTGCTTTGTACTGGTGTTCTTGGCGCCAGTAGTGGAGTTCTGTGTTCATAGCCTCAGCTTTCTATCCCGGTGAAGACTAGTCGTCTGCCGGGTAGTTAGACTGAGAGGGCTTGGTCAGCTTAAGAGATTCCAAGCAACTGTCGGATCTTCCGCAGTCTAATCAACAGTAAATCAACCCAGGGAATTGCAATTGAACCTAACTAAGGGGCTAGGGGGACTCAATCCCGAGTGACTCTTGCCTGCTTTAGAAACCGAACAATTTACTGCCTTCTTGTTGCTTTTACTTTTCACAACAATCACTCGAACTAGTTTGCTAGATAATAGAGAATCACGGAGTAAGCAATAGATCTAGACCCCGGGTTGATAATTAAACTTGCCTGTTACTGCATTCCCGGACTGCGATTACACTTGGTCGCAGTTTGGTGTTGTGTTTTAGCGTGTCAATCACGTATGGAGCTCGAGGGAGTTATTGCTGGTGCTTTGAAGTTAGCTTTTGAAGGTGCCAAATCCTCTTTTGGAGGTGTTTGGGAAATCCGAAGTTCTCAGGGTGTTGTGTTGGATGGCTTCTTCATGGAACTTTTGGGGGACTTCTTTGATGCATGTCTGTCTTCCCAATCATCCTGTTGATCTTCGATGTATCAGTGAACTGAAATAGACTGTTGTTTTGTGAATATTCTGGTCAACTCTCTTGCAGCTTGGTAGTGTGAAGGTTGTAACTGCTAGGATTCTGGTTTCAAATATGTGGCGGTGTAGGATTTCTCTTAGTATGTTTTGGTAATGGTTGCAAGTACTGGCATAATATAATCATGTATAAATCTGGATATCGGTTAAGTATCAGTTAGGGTATCTCTGTTGTTTTGTGTGCTTTGTCTTTCTGTTGGCAAAGGTGTGTCAGATGTTTGGTTTCATCAACCAGATATCCATAATGAAATTATTTGTTTGCGAAGTGTGTGCATCTATGTCCATAATGAATTTTGTTTGTGAAGTGTGTACATCTGATGTTTCTACCACATCCTACATTATTAAACTATATTTTGATCTCAAATGTTTGTGGTAAATTAAATCTAACATTTGAAAATCGAACTTTGACAGTAAAAATTATACTGATTGATGCTCTTTTGGTGATTACAGAAAATTAGATGAAAGTATATCTATGTGATGCTAACAGGTCATCATTGCTTTCATTAGCATATATGCCTATGTCACCAATTGAGTATTGAGTATTACTGACACCTATCAATTTTCATTTAATGCTATGTACCAAACAGATTTATAATGATTACATGGGGATATATAAAAAAGTAGTTTAGTAAGAGCAAAATTGATATCGTCCATTTATTCTCAAACAGTGCTTCTCCTGCTCAAGTCTATGATTCACACAGTTTCCTTTCCTAACTGCCATAAATACACCAGAGCTTCTGCAGAGAAACAGTTAAGGTTGGAATATTCCTATATCATGTTGCAGAACTCATAGAATCTATACTCATGTGAGTTCTTCTGAGGTTCATTCATTCATTCATTCATTCCTAGATTAGTCTGTATGTCATTCATTAGTTTGTCAGTCTCTTATTCATTCTGCAAACTTGGATGCCATCCATTCTTTACCATTATTGCGCATCGAAGTTTCCATGTGAGGGAAACTTCAATAATTTCTGTTTTTACTACATTAATGCAGCATGACACCAAGAAAGAAGCCAACAACTAACAAGGTGTTAAAACGAAAGTTGAATGAAGATTCTCTAAGTTCTGGAATCACTGATGACACGCCATCTTCTTTTCCGCAAGTTCTGATGGACAACACAAGGATTAATAAGAAATCACGCCAGCTTCCTTTTATGCTCTCGGTTGAAGATACAGAGCTTTCAGGAAACATTTCCACAATTACAAATCCTAGGGACCCTTACACAACACACATGGAAGGTCAAACCTCAAGGCAGAATCCTCCAAGTAATGGGCCGAAGAAGAAATCTGGCTTTGCCAGCAAAGAGGTTTGCACTGCAAGAAAACCACTGCATAATGATGTACTGAATGTTGGAAAACCAGAATGTGTTTGTCGGTTCTGTGGGGCATTGTTTTGGTACTATGAACGATTGGATCGTCATAGAAAGACAGCTACTCCGGTGTATACTCTGTGTTGTCAAAAAGGAAGAGTGAAGCTCCCATTATTGAAGCAGCCACCTCCCCTTCTTGCCCAGTTACTTGACATCAATGGTGGAGCATTATCAAAGCATTTTAGAGAAAAATATAAGGCCTTATAATGGGTCGTTATGTTTCACATTTTTTGGAGCAAAACTGGATCCTCGATCTCTAACAAGTCGAGGACCTTATTCGATGGTGATTTGCGGAGAGAACTATCATAGAATTGGTTCCTTGCTGCCGGTTGAAGGAGAACGACCAAAGTTTGCTCAGCTATATATCTTTGAACCTGATAGTGAGGTTGACAATAGATTAGCAAACTTTTCAACTCGAGAAGAGGTGTTGTTACCTGAGTTACTGGCATCTTTACTAAGGATGCTTGATGAAACAAATGAATTGGTGAAGACATTTAGACGCATCCGGCAGAATCTACAATTGTCTTCAACACCAAATCTACGCCTTCGAATATTTGGAATCAAAAGTAGGAATCGACAATACGATCTTCCAACTAGCAGTGATGTTGCAGCCTTGATACCGGGAGATTTTGTTCCCGATAGAGAAGACAGAGATATCATTGTAGATTATCAAAATGGAGGATTGAAGCGAATAACAAGTTTGAATCCAAAATTTGAAGCGCTTCACTTTCCTTTATTATTTCCTTATGGAGAGGATGGTTTTCACCCCCAAATCTCATATAACATTTCCTTCTGTCCTCCATCAATGCGCAGGAAGTTTGTTACGCAGAGAGAATACTATGCTTTTAGGCTTCAGTATCGGATAGGTGAAGGCCATACGTTGGTCAAGAGTGGAAAAGCGCTACAACACTATTGTGTTGATGCATTTTCAACAATAGAGCTCAATCGATTGGCATTCCTTAGAACCCATCAAAAGGACCTGAGATCTGAAGTGTATCAAGGTTTGGAAGATGCATTTGCTAGAGGAGATATGGACGGTGAGAAACTTGGTCGTATTATTATACCTTCTTCATACACCGGAGGACCTAGATATATGCAACAACTTTATCACGATGCCATGGCAACCTGTCAGCACTATGGAAATCCTGATTTGTTCATTACATTTACGTGTAATGCACTTTGGGAAGAAATTGTTGAGGCATTTGCAGATGTGGTGGGTTTGAACAGTGAATTGAAGCCAATGGTTGTTTGTCGGGTATTTCATATGAAACTGACCAAGCTCATTGATGAATTCAAACGAGAATCGTACTTTGGCAAAACAATAGCAAGTAAGTGTTTTATACTTGCTTTTATGTTATGCATATTTTGACATTCAAGAACCATATTTCAGCCCAGTAATCATTTACAAAGAGTGTGCTGGTAAATACTAATACAGGCATGTTAGTTCTACCATTAGTTTTGTGACAGTTAGTGCAGGTTATATTATCAAATACTCAAATAGACATGATATTTTTTTATAAACTTGCAGTTAGTGTTACAAAGTGCTAATGGATACACAAATTCTTTTCTCCAGTAATTTATACTGTCGAATTTCAAAAAAGAGGCCTCCCTCATGTACACATGCTGATATGGTTAGCCAAAGAGGATAAACTAAAAACAACCAGTGACATTGATGAGATGATTTCAGCAGAGATTCCAGATCCTCATGTAGATCCAGAAGGATATACAGCTGTGGTCAAGTTCATGCTTCATGGACCATGTGGAATTGACAACCCTAAATCACCTTGCATGAAAGATGGGAAGTGTTCAAAGTTCTTCCCCAAAGCATTCAGCAATGAAACTTCATTTGACAAGTTTGGAAATGTAGTCTATCGACGTAGAAATTCTGGAGTACACGTGAAAAAAGGAAAAGTTATGCTGGATAATAGATATGTCGTTCCATATAACAGGAATTTACTGGTTAGAGCTCAGGCTCACATTAATGTTGAGATATGTCATAAAGGAGGATTGGTGAAATACTTATTTAAGTATATCACTAAAGGACCAGATAGATCCCTCATTATTGCTGAAGATTCAGTGACTTCAAAACAAGTTCCCTCCACAAATTCAAAGAAGTCAAAAGATGAAATACAAGAATTCATTGATTGTAGATCCTTATCCTCTTATGAAGCTGTCTGGAGAATCAATGAATATCCTATTCATCATAGGGAACCAAATGTTGTCCGACTTGCAGTACACTTGCAAGGGCAACAAAATGTTCCTTATAAGCGGCAATCAAGTGTGAAAAACATTCTGAAGAATCCCAGAGCTGGCAAAACACATCTGACAGCTTGGTTTCAACTTAATAGACAGGACCCTGATGCTAGAAAGCTAACATATGCTCAGATACCAGGTTCATACACATGGGATGAAGAATACAATGAGTGGACATTGAGGACAAGAGGATTTGCCATTGGAAGAATTGCTTATGTTCCTCCAGGAAGCAGTGATGTCTTTTTCCTTAGACTATTGTTGACAAAGGTACAAGGAGCAACCAGCTTTAATAACTTAAGGACTGTTCGAGGAGAGCTCTGCAGTACTTATGAAAAAGCGTGTGAAAAATTAGGTCTCTTATCTGATTCTTCAGGAAATATCAACTTCAAGCATGCCAAATCTGATAAGGAGCACCTTTATTTCAATGCTCATGTTTTGTGAAATACCTAATCCAACTGCTTTGTTCGAGTCGTCTTGGAGACTTATGGGTGAAGATCATGCATATTATCTTCGAAAGCAGCTTCATTCAAACACATATGAGCCCTCAGAGGAGAGACTGCGAAATTGGGTGCTTCGTCAACTGGAAACCTTATTGGGATCTTATGGTTCCTCCCTCGAACATTTCCACCTTCCTAAACCAACAGATTCACAACCTGATGATGGTTCAAATCCCCTGATAAACCAACATTTAAACTTTGACACTACTCAGGAACAACAAGCAGCCGAAGAAATGCTTTGCGCACTCAATGCAAATCAATTTGAAGCTTTCTCATCGGTGATGCTATCAATCAACAACAATCTAGGGAAGTCCTTTTTCTTATATGGACACGGAGGAACAGGCAAGACATTCCTGTACAATGCAATAATCACAAAGCTCAAGAGTTTGTCCAAAATAGTGATTGTTGTTGCTTCCTCTGGAATTGCAGCAACACTACTTCCAAATGGCACAACTGCTCATTCTAGATTCAAGATCCCACTCCACTTGGACAACACATCGACATGTTCTATAAAAAAGGGTACACATTTAGCTGAACTAATATGCGAGGCTTCATTAATTGTTTGGGATGAAGCGCCAATGACACATCGACATGCATTTGAGGCAATTAGCAGGACATTTTGTGATCTGATGGAGATTCCTCTGTCTGGAACAGGACATAAACTATTTGGGGGTAAAACAATTATTTTAGGTGGAGATTTCAGGCAAACTTTACCTGTCATTGCAGATTCAGGAAGGGAACAGACAGTTGATGGATCAATCACAAGATCACCATTGTGGAATTCTTTTCAGATGCTGAGACTTTCAAAGAATATGAGACTAAATGATTCACAAGAAAACAACGTGATAGTAGGTTGTGTCCTTAAATTTGGAGAATGGGTTCTCGCTCTTGGAGATGGAAAGTTGGATACAAACTCCTTTAGTTCGAACACTCCTTCAGACTGGATTGAGATACCAGAAATATTTATGGTGATTCCTGGAAAAAATCCACTTCAATCAATAACAGAAGAAATATATGAATCATTTGCAGATTGCTATAAAGACACAAAGTACCTGAGAGGAAGAGCGATTGTGACTCCAACAAATGCTGTTGTTATTGAAATCAATGATTACATGTTGCAACAGCTGCCAGGAGAAGGGCATTGCTACTACAGTTCCGATTCCATGCACCTAGATAAAGAGGTCCCTGAATCATTTAGTGAAACTTATCCCACTGAGTTTCTTAATACTTTATCGTTCAATGGTGTGCCAGATCACGAGATAAGACTGAAAGTTAACACTCCAGTGATGTTGCTCAGAAATCTAAGCCCCCCAAGTGGTTTATGCAATGGAACACGATTGATGATAACGTCGTTAGGTCAGAATAGCATCATAGGAAATATCATGGGAGGATCCTTTGATGGAAAACCTGTAGCAATATCACGAATTTTGCTCAACATTGAGGACAAAAAATGGCCGTTCATCCTCAAGAGACGTCAATTTCCTGTTCGATTATGTTATGGAATGATGATAAACAAAATCCAGGGACAAACCCTGGATAAAGTTGGAATTTATCTACCGAATCCAGTATTCAGTCATGGCCAATTGTATGTGGCCGTATCCAGAGTCAGATCTGCAGCTGGGCTGAGGTTTCTGATAACAAATGAAGAGGGTGTTCCAGGAAATCACACAAGAAACATTGTGTTCTCAGAAGCATTCACAGATATCACAGGAAATTAAGTTCTCCATCCATGATTATGAAGGTAAGCGTTAAAGTTTATTTCGACACATTTCATGTTCTACTCAAAGAAAAATTATGAATATGGTCTATGAGATAGTGACTAATCACGTTTTACAACAATGCAGGAGTCATCTGGAACACAAAACGATCTTTGGGGGCACATGGAGAAACTACTTTCCGCCCTTAATATTGCATCTACCAAAAAAACTAGCAGGAGACATTGTTTGCGTTTTGAATTCTGGGCAAGTTCTTCATGTTCTTCCTGTTCTTGCAAAATGACACAATAGAATATTTTATGATGCTCCTTTGATCGAACTTTTTAGAGAACATACAAATAAATTGTTTTCACCAAACGACAGACTCCTTAACGTTTTGCAAGACAACAATTTTGGGCCACAAATGAAAATACACCTCCCCTGCCAAATTTAAATATCGCCCCACATAAATGGTTTGCCCCAATTTCACAACATTGACTAACGTCGTGGACCCTGCACTACCCTACAAAAAGAGATTCTATTTCCAGAAGTAGACTCTTATCCGCAGCTGAAGTTTACTCCACGAACCAACAGAAGCCCTAAACAAAGGTAAATCGGCTTCTACTTCTAACTCCACTCACAGAATTTACAATTCAAAAAGACAGCTCATAAACAAAGGTCCCTACCACCATGGAAGCTTCGCACCAGAAACGCACGACCACGGTAGAAGATTGCACGGTCCCCAGCAACAGCCGAGGTAAACACATTCCATCTCAATAGGTGTTCCTTTAAACGTCTAGATACATCTACAAAATATGCCGTTTCATGTTCAATTAGGCCACCTATATAAACTTGATGACCTGGTAGCTTTCCCAGCAAAAACAAAGGGCAGAGTAGTTCCAAGAGAGTTACAACTGATGATGAAGGCTAATCAGCTTATCTCTCATGTTGAAGAAGACGAGGACAGTCCAGAGGATCCAGTGGACTTATACCCTGCAGCCTTCTTTTCAATGGTGCCAATGCAGAAAAACAACTATGACTGCCATGGAGGTAACCACTAGATACTTTACTTTTACACTTAGAACAAAGATGTAAATGCACTGACAATTAGAAAATTACAGACATCACTTGTTGTATCCGACGAGTCACAGTTCCAGAAACTGTTCAGGGTAACCTTAAGGAATTCATCGTGATCATGGAAGATGTGAGGTAACTTCAGCAAGTATATTACAATACATTCAGAACAAACATATGCAAGTATAAGTGGACAAAATTGTTCTTCCAGTTCTTGCGTTGTTCTTAACAAGAGACACATTTTGTGTTTTTTATTTTGAAACTCAAAGTTGGAAAGCAGTTATAAGTTTTTGTCAGTTAATATCGGTTCGGAATTTCCAGAGAGAAGTTAGAAAGAAATTCGGTCAGCCCAACTGATACAACTTGACAGCCCAATCAAAGCAGGAGCGTATTGTAAGTTTTTTTTAAAAAAAGGCATGATTCAACAATTAGACCCCATTGCATATGAAACAGAGCCCAAACACGATGTCAAGGCCCAAACAATAGATCCAAAAAGGACTTACCCTAAGTTAACCCTAGCTTACATAAACTACCGGTATGTTTTTTATGCCTTCTAGAATCGGCCGCGCAGTCAAGATACAAAAAATACGGGAAACCAGAGTCTCGAAGAACTGGAAGCTTTCTTCTACCCAACAGATTTACAGTTGAATAGTACAACTGATACGTGAGATTCCGTGGACCCACACAGAATGGAATCTTTGAGGAATAAGCATCAAACTACAGATCGCGATTGTGTGGTCCCCAACGAACTGAAGGTAAATACATTTAATCTGGAAAGAGATCCTAAAAACGCATCTCGATTCCTATGCAAGTTTTTTCCATTTATTATTTATCTATTCGTCTTTATTCGCGTTGCAGATTCCATTGATGCAAGCATGTGCTTTCGGGGACTGCGTTTGGGAACAAACAATCGAATCGTTATAGCTAGACATGTCGTTACATGGTCTGAGTTCCGAGAAGTGCCTTTATCCACATGCAAGAAAAGGACATATCACATGCTCTGGCTTGACAAAAAGGTTTGGATCCAGATACCCCAACTATATTCATAAATATTCGTCAGAGCATTTGATTCAGTGTTAGGACAAAAGAAATTACCAATATACAAACCCTAAATATCAATTAACCTACTACCGAATACTAAAAGATCAGAAACTCATGGCAACATATCTATCTACCATTGACTATACAGAACAGGTTGATCGAAGCTCAGGTTGAAGAAGAAGAGGCAGCTGAGGTTTTTAAGAAGATCAAGGTTGGCTGTCTGCATGAACTACATGATATTGTAGCAGGTCCAGCAAGATCAATGCCACGCGTTGTCCATCGAGAGTTGCGCCTACTCCTCACTTCAAATCAAATTAGAAGACACATTGAAGAAGGAAATGGACCCCAGCAGTTTCCATCAGGATCATACACAGCAGCCGATTTTTCCATTGTGCCTCAAACATCAAAAGACTTTGTCTGCCATTCAGGTAAATATATGTCACTCTATCCACGATCAACAAACACCATTGAACAAAGCATAACAAACATTAAATCTGCAGATGTTACAGGATGTGTTAGAAGACTAACTCATCCAGAAAAAATTAAAGGAATAATTCAGAAATTCGACCTGGTCATACAAGATGTCTGGTATGCTCTTAAGACTGTACACTTTTTTTTGCTTTGTAAGAATGTATAGTTAACGCATTGCTTTGCAATCAGTGGAGCAAAGGCTTATATTGAATACAGTGGCCATGACATTGATGATTTCCAAAAGCATGCTCCAGCAATGGAGTCAAAGTTACCATTGATTGTGACAATCAAATCAGTTAGTAGAGTAACTCCTAGACATGGCAGTAAATATCAGCACGAATTTCGATCCACAGTTGCGAGTAAGCTTATCATTCGTTCTTATACAGACAACTGCAAGGATATCATGACCATGTAAGTTGCTGTATATGGGTTTGCCCAAGATAACTTATTGGTTCAACCACTATGGATTTAATGATACTTACACATTGCTTTTCAACATGTAGCTTTCTTGCATGTCGCAAACCAGTTTACTTCTTCGATGATGCTACTTGCAAAAAAACTGGCCACCTGCTGAGCAATCAACTGCCAAAGAAATCATTGAGAGAGATAAAAGAAAGGATGGAGGACCCGTCGGATTTCACAGAGGTATATGAACAAACACCAGCATTGACATCAGCTGTATATTTTCATCTGTTTACCAGAATAATACATCCGACATTTTATGCAACAGGTCACTTACATGACATTGATTGACATTCCAAGGTTTATATACAGAAAAAGCATCTGCAAAATTCGTGAAGAGAACACGGGGTAAGCTTTTGACCATCCTCCCATGTTTACACATGCGATAATAATACATTTTATATAAACCTAACAAAAAGATCTTTATTGCAAGACTGACATACAAACTGGAAGGGAGATGTCGCCAAGAAGGATCTGAAATAGATGTGGTGTTTGAGCATGAAGCAGCTCTGTCACTTATTCGTAAGTCACCGTCAGATTATCTGTTTCTAAAGAAGGACCAAATCATAGAATTGATCGCACAGAACTGTGCCAAAAAATTTGCGGCGGAATTGAATGCGCATGGAGAAAAGTGGGAGGCAGTGATTCAGATATACGACGGGAAGCAACAGTGCTCACCCTGTGGGACCGATCAGCATTCGAGAAATGATGATGTCCTTCGGACCTTGCCATTTTGATATCGTGCAAACCACAAACGCACGAAACTTCTCAAAACATTTTGTCCTGCCAAGCTTGAAATCTTCAGTCTCCGTCTTGGAACTTTTATTTATTTAGTAGATATATCGTGGAAAACTTGGACACAATCCTGACTACATTATGTTTATTCTGCAACCCAGTCAATCTTTTGCATAATGTTTATTTTTAAACCCCAGTGTTTTATGTTTACGACAACATTTATGTCTATATTTAGGACATAAACGATTATGGTTATAGAACAAACATATGCAAGTTTACTTATATGGCTCTAAGAAGCCAAGCCATGTGTATTCCATTAATGGATAGTATATCACAAATTTTGTAGCTTTTGTGGAATCGATATGAATTCCCAAAGTACATGCTATTTCAGGCTGAACAACTATCAATGATCTTAGAATAGAACCTCAATAGGATCAAGCTTATACAACAAAATACAATAACTTAATTGTTCCACCCATCCCGGCGCAGAGCGCGGGCAAAGAAAAAACTAGTATGTTAAGAAACCAATTAACCCTACCATTGCATGCAACATGTCAGACCCTTCTTTACTCTCTTCCCATTATTCAGCGCGTGGCTGCGGAAGTCGATTTTCCCCGTGATCAATTAGCCACTCGCCGAAAAAAATGTGGATCCAGAAGAAGGGGAAGGGATTTGGATTGGAAGGCGGTGATCATCAAGAGCAAAACTGCTATGGCGGGGAAGAAATTGAGGCCTGGGGGTTTCGATTCCCCCTGATTGTTGGTGTAGGAACTGTGGCCTACTTTGTCGGGCCTGTGGCCGCCTATGATGGTTTGGCGATCTATTTCTAAGGTTCGCGTTCGTCGCGTCGCGAAGTGAATGAACGGATGAGTCGCAATTTGAGGAATGAGAGGGCTGGGAGGCACTTTTATTTTTTTATTAAATTCAACAATAACCCTCAAACGACAGATTTTCAGGTAAGAGACCGAAAATTTAATTTCGGTTGGACCACCCGAAATTTCAGATTTTGATTGAGATTGACCAGAATTGACCAGAGTATTCTACTAGAATACCGGTGACATTCCAACTGGTTTCACCACCAATACTGATGAATCTGGTTCAACCTACCGGCATGTCACATTGTCACTGGCATCACAACTATGCTCAAAACTAAGACCCATATCTCGTTATAACATATCCAAGCCAAATAATTGTATTGCGTCGCCAAATCCAATTACTCTGTCCGAAACGTGTCAACTTGTCACCAATAACATTGTCCCACGTACGAGTTCGGCCACATCATCAGAAAACGAGAAGAAGGGCCATCTGGCTTTCGGTCCCACCGATTTTTCATTTTTTGTGTCTTCCTGCTTTCTTAGAGCATCCACATTGGTATTGCATTCTCAATTACAAAATGACATGGCATAGATTTTTGCAATTGCAAAACCAATTGCATTGATATGGCTACCAATTGCATATTTGCAAGCTTGCAACAAATGCAATTCCATATGCAAGTCAAAAAAGCCTAAAAAAAAGGGGATTTTGTATTTTATATTATTTTCTTTTCTCTTTTACTTAATTTTCGGTAATTTAAACATAATATTTAATTATATATGCAATTGCAAGTTAATTGCATTGATGTAGGTGAATGAAATGAATGTGATGTGGATTGCAAGAAATTTGGGTTGACAATAAAAAACATAAATGCAATTTCTTTTACAATTGCATTGATGGAGATGCTCTTACCTCGCTCCTCATTCCATTCCATTAGATTCCTTTTATTCTCCTCCCGCGAACCTCGCAGCTACGACGTCAACCCGAAACGGCCTGCGTTTGATCGCAAAACCAGCTGCCTTTCCCTATCAATTCCCATTTTTTCAACCGGCGCTGGCTTCCTATTTGACCCTTCTGCTTCAAAATTCCACCTCTAATTCGCCGGCCGTGATCCGGCTTCCTCGAAATCCTCCACCCACCGTCGAACTGTTTCTCTCCTCCTTCACGCTTCCGTACATCTCTCCTGCAGCGACGGTCTTGCCGTTACTACGTGCATATGGATCGGAGGAGGGCCGGGAGTCCGGTGTACGGGCGGCAGTGGAGTGGAGGATCGAGCAGCACGGGTTCTTCCTCTCCGGCGATGTCGCCAGCGCATCCGAGCTCTAGGCTGGGAGCTGGCATGTCTACCATCAAGCGCACACAGAACGTAGCCGCCAAGGCAGCTGCTCAGCGGCTAGCTCAAGTCATGGCATCGCAGACTGCCGATGATGACGAGGATGAAGACGATCTAGGGTTTCGGTTCAGTAATCAGACAGCTGCGCCTCCGTCGAGCTTCAGCAACAGTTTCAATCAGAACGGAAAGAGTAGTGCTACTCCAGCCATTTCTTTTACTAGAGGGAACCGATCTCCGTCCCCTGCGGTAATTCAGCTCTCTGATACGTTTTCTAATTTTAGCTTTTCCTTGCTCCTGAAGCTCAATTGGCCATATGAATCCTATTGATATCCGGCGGAAATTGCTCTGAGCAGGTCTTCCTCCTTTGATTTTGATTCCATCGTAGTCTTTACGTTTTCCTTCAATTCTTTTATGCGAGATGATAGCTGATTCGGATCTGGTATTTTTGCATTAGTTAGGTAGAAACTTTGTAGAGCAAGTTACTCAGCCTCGATCCTCATCAACAGGGCGATCAACAATGTCTGTTCGAACTTCATTGATGCCGTCTAGTAAGTCAACTTTAAGGACTTCCGTAGCAATACCTGCCATTGAGCCTCCAGCCATCAAGACCCGGGATAAAAGGTCGTTTAACTTGCTATCAGTAACTTGATGTTTTATGAACTTCCGTGGGATCAAATGGTTGAATTTTCATTACATTCAATTCATTACTATCCTTGCTTTTGGGCTGAGTGCTATTTGCCGGACACTACAGGTTTAGTGCTGATGTGGGGCAGCTTAAGAAAGACAATGGAGATCAGCGCGAAGCATCTGCACTTCGTGATGAAGTATGTTACTCTCAAAATACTCATTTGTGTGCAATGCCGACTATTGTTCAGTGACTTCCTGGATGGAACATGGGGCACTACTAACTTTTTTTTCCCCCAGCTTGATATGCTACAAGAAGAGAATGAGGGCATACTTGACAAGGTTTGTCCGCTAACCATGATATAACTTAGTGTTTGACATTGTTTGCTTACATGACTCTAATCTGAGCTTGCTGTACAGCTTCGGCATGCAGAAGAAAGACGCGAGGAAGCAGAGGCTCGTGCAAGGGAACTTGAGAAACAGGTTCTTACTTCGGTTTTTGTCATGTTTTTTCTTTTTGGAACTTGGAATGCATTCATAAATATTGGTTAGTTCTTATTCCTATGCCTTTGAATTTGTATAACAGGTAGCTGCGCTTGGAGAAGGTGTTTCCCTTGAAGCTAAACTCTTGAGCAGGTGACCTTGATTGCTCCTATATCCTGTACCATTTGCCTGATGTGACAACTGACAATCCTGAATTTGATACCTCTTATTGTGCAGGAAAGAAGCAGCATTGCGTCAAAGAGAGGTGAGCCTTGAGAAACTTGATTGCCTATTTCTGTAAACATTAGACAGCATCGTATAATGTGCTTGATTGAATGGAAAAATCTCTGTAACAGGCCGCTTTAAAGGCAGCAAAGCAGACAAAAGATGGGAGAGATGAGGAAATTGCATCTCTTCGCTCAGAGCTTGAGGTAGCTAAACATTGCTAGTAGCTGGCCTTTGTTCAGAATGTTTCAGTTTTCTTCCAAGGAGTCATATTTCTCTTTTTGCTTAATTCATTCAGAATATAAAGGATGAGACAGTAACAGCTGTGGAGCAGCTACGGGAAGCAGAATCTGAAGCCAAAGCACTACGCACGATGACACAGAGAATGATTTTGACTCAAGAAGAGATGGTCCGTGCATCATTTCACGCTGAATTGTTCATTTCAGTTTATGGATTGTGATTATGTACTGTTTTTTTCTTTTATCAGGAGGAAGTAGTTTTGAAGAGATGTTGGCTTGCTCGATATTGGGGTCTAGCCGTTCAACATGGTAATGAATTTGATCCATTTATTGGGTGCTTACTAGGGAGGTGATTTGTTTCTTTATTAATGAATTTACTGGAGATAACATGTTTTGTTTGTTTTATTTTCCCTTGCCTGTAGAATCATTTCACATTATACTAACCTGTTAGAAGTTAGAACACAGTGTAGGTTTAGCTTGATTCTTGCTAAAAGGGGAAGAAGCCTTTCTTTTTTATCTGTAAGTTTTATGGTGTCACCGAAGATCTCCCTTCCATTAGTTGGTTTACTTTCACATATGTGAACGTGCTTGGAATATTATGTGTCTTCTTCTGCTTTCCAAATTTTTTGTCTTCCTTTTCTTCGGTGAAAGATATTTTTTTATTGAGGATAAAATAGCGAGTAAGCTCTATGCTAGTTTTCCTAGAAGCATGCAATGTTCCATTGTGTAGCAACCCTATGGCTTTGATCTTATGAGTGAAAGATATGTTGACTTTTCCAAATCTTATTATGTACCAGGAATTTGTGCCGATATAGCAGTGTCAAAGCATGAACATTGGTCTGCTTTTGCTCCCCTTCCGTTTGAGGTTGTCATTTCTGCTGGACAGAAGGCCAAGGAAGAAGCTGAGGACAAAGGCTAGTTGTTTTGTTCCTTTCCTATTTCTCATTTTGCTTATTTTGCGGTATATATCTGCATGAAAGTTCTGCAGGTATTGACCTTTCTTTTTTGATGATGCAGTTGGCAATAGCTCAGATAGGAGTAAGTCTGCTCGTGATTTGAGCGATTTAACAGGAGAAGGAAATATTGAGAGTATGCTTTCAGTTGAAATGGGACTGAGGGAATTGGCTTCTTTGAAGGTTAACCTTTGTACTTCTGAACTATGGAACTCTTATACGTGAATTTTTTTCTCAAGCTCTTCTTTGCAGTTGATAAGAACCAATCCAAATTTTATCCTATGTGGTGATAACGATGGATCTGTTTTTCAGGTGGATGATGCTGTTGTGCTTGCATTGGCCCAGCACAGGCGTGCAAGTAAGTTGCTCAAGTTGACTTTCATTTTAATCAAATTTATATTGAAATAACTTAACGTGCTTTTGCTAAACATTCAAAGCTATTTATGGCCAAAAAAAAAAAAAAATCAAAGCTTTTATTTTAAATTTTCATCTCCAGCGCGATCTTTATGGTTGGCCCTTTTTTTTACATTACTTGCTGCGATCCCACAAGTTATGATTGATTAAAATTCCACGCAAAACCTTTGGAACCTGCATTAATCATGAACTGTCAGTTGGTCGGACTTTTTTGTTTTGTTTTAATGATTGAACCTCCTTCACTGTCAGTTTAACCATGACAATGTTCATGAATCATGTATGAGAAAAACATCTTGCATTAATACTGAATGCTTGTAACTTATTGCTTTCAGATTTGAGAACTCTTGGTGATCCCAAGTATTCTGAAGCCATTGGTAAGAGATAAAACTCTCAATCGTATTCTTCAGGTTGGGCTTTGCTTAAACGTCATTAATTAGACTCTACAATTAATGCAGAGTTGAGTGAAGCTGAGGCAGAAGATGTTCTTTTCAAAGAGGTAAGTTGCTTACCTTATTTTGTCATGCTTATGAAAAATCGTGAGAACTATAATGTTTTTTAGTGTTCCCCATATATTTCCTTCCTCCGTCTTTCTTTGTAAACCACATCTCGGTTGATAAGGACAACTGTTCTTAGCTTTTTCTAGGAATTATAATCAAACCTAGGAACGAGCAACCTTTATTTCATTTTCATTTCTTTGCTGTCCATGTACTTGATAACTTTAAAACCAAAAGAGACTAGCCAGGAACGTAGATATTATACAGGCCATGTAGATGTTTTAGCACACAAATGAAATATTTTTTCCAAGAACTTGTAAACATAGATGAGGGAGCAGAATTGGCCATGCATGGCATTCTATGTGCAGTTTTTGTATCTTTAACATGTATCTGAAGGGCATTGTTTGTACTTTATTGTAAATGATTGTCATCACCATACGTGATCCAATTACTTGTTCAAGTACTGACGTTGGCTGTGGGCGCTTTCCTTGTAATCGCTGTGTAAATCCAACTTAAAATGTTGATAAGCTTGCTTCGTGGTACAAACACTTCGTTGTAGTGTATTTTTTTGAATGCTGACCAACTCCTAAATGTGTTTATTGTTAAATGTGAAAAGTCATGGCTAACATATTTCTGGAGAAGAGCCAAAGCGCATGGCGTGGAAGAGGATATAGCAGAAGAACGTCTTCAAGTCTGGATCAGTCGTAGTGGGAAGCCACCCACTTCACATGATGCTGTCGATGGTAAGCCTCTCCCTCCCTCTCCCTCTCCCTCTCCCTCTCCCCATACATAGAACATAGGCATAGCAGAGGGAGCTGCCATAATATATCACGGCATTTTGATATTCTTTACGTTGCGCGTCCATTGCTGCAGTTGAGCGAGGATTGGTTGAGCTAAGGAAGTTGAGCATAGAGCAACAACTTTGGGAAGCATCACGGAAAGAAATCGACCAGCCCTCACTAGCCAATCATAAATCTCCGGCAGACTCGGACCTCTCATCGTGATACAACTTTTTGGAGACCTTTTCTTTCTGTTGCGGTGATTATACGCCTCCCTGCGGCCTTTTTCTTGTTCGTTCTTCTGTAAGTTGCTTGTATCGTTATCTTTCTTTGTGTTGGGCACCCATTTGTAATTCTTCTTCCATTCTCTTCCTGTTTTGGTTCTTTCCCCTACATTACATGCAATTGGTTTCCGGTGGTAACACCTTTCCTCTCATGTACACTTTCCACATTGCCAAAGTCCTATCTCAAGGGACAGTGGGATAATAATCGAATGGCTGCATATATTTGTCAGATTGCCTATCGATAAACTCGATGATGCAAAAATAGTTGGAGTGTAACATTATTTTCTTATGCAGCAGTTCACTTGAAATCATAGCATCTTAGACAGTTTTTCCATTGTTTATGAGCGTAATGATCTCTATATATGAAGATATGATCGACCAATTAATTAATTACATGGTAGAAAAGTTGTTTTGATTATGGAATTACGTATTCAAATCCTCAATATTAATTATTGTCTTAAAGAATGTGTATAGTGTGTTTTCAAGCCTATCGGTTGTTTTTCGTTTGGAGAGACGTATACAAAAATTTATTAAAATTTATATATGGGTCTTGAATTGTGGGTTAGTTTTCGTTTGAAGAAGCTGAAAATCAAGTGGGGAATATGGCATCCTAATCTTCCGATCGAGCGAACAGTAATGGATGCCATGTATGAGGCTTTGACAGCTAAAGTTTAGTCGAGTGAAGTGCGAAAAACTATTTTTTCGATAGGGTTGCAGCGAGCGCCGGACTCGGATGGATTCGCAGGCAAATTCTTTAAGTGCTTTTGAGACATAGTGTGCGAGTCGGTGGTTGTCTGTTCCTTTAGAACGGAGCGGATGTTTCGAAGTTTTAACCACACTCGACTGACATTGATCCCCAAAGTGGATAATGTGGAGAATATGAGACAACTAAGACCTATAAGGAAATTTTTCCCAATATACCATCCAAAAACTTAAAAATACCAAATATATCACTCTTTCCAAAAAAAAAATACCACCATTTCACAAGGACTACATCACCTTATGGCAGTTTACAAATAAACTGCAGAGGGTGGTGCGGTTTAAATTTTGGTAAAGAACCGCAATGGGATCGAGGATCGCTTAAGACCCGAATTTTCCAAGAAATGGGAGGATCGTGATAACCGCTTAAGACCTCATTTCCTTAGGCATGCATAGATTTATACATAGTCTAAGCAAGTGTCACATTGTATTAGTCCAAATCATTGAAAATAATCAATATGATTAACCATTTACACAATTATATTCTAAAGCACTAAGTACTTTAACAAAATAAACTATGACAAATGTTGAAGAATTACACGTACCGACAAATTATTTCAAACATCCTTTGAATGATGGTTAGGTTGGTCGTACATAAAACTTGGATCATGGGATCCTTGGTTAATAACTTAAGATAATATCTTTGATCATATATATCTACATCCACACCAACCTACAATATCATAATAAAAAAGAAATTAATTAGTATATAGATTAATTAAAAAGAATTATAAGAACTAAAATAAAGAGAAGAATGAGTATGTACTGTTTGATAGTCTTTAAAAAAATATTTTCTCGATAGTACCAAATTTGGTTAATTTTTTTTATAGAAGGCGAACAGAGGTTCAACGTGTTTTGGAGGAAAAAATTTTAATATTTTTTTCTGATGACATTTCAGACTTAGTCGCAACCAACAGACGATGATCTTTTAAGGTGTCGTTTGGATGGATCAATTGCAAATGAGACAATTTAGTCAATTGTCTCGTATTCTAAAACGAGTCAATTAAAATTACCTGCCCCATCCCATACAATTGTAATTGCCTCAAAATGATTCGTGTAGTATTTCTAAAATTATGTCCGAACGGTGATTCCATTTCTCCCACAAATAATTTCAGAAGGGCAGAATGCCTTTATCTGGGAAAGACAGATGGTGGATGATGTCCTCCTTGGGCATGAACTGATCCCACTACTTGAAAATAAAAACTAAGGGCAAGAAAGGGTTTATTGCTTTGAAGGTTGATATAAAAAAGGCATATGACAGAGTCGAATGACCTAGTCTGCTCGCGGTTTTGGAAATAATGGGTTTCTCCCAAACCAGGATAAGATATTCAGAAATGCTTGAGCTCATCGTCTTTCTTTGTCCTTATGAATGGCACCCTTTATGGGTTCTTCAAACCAGCGAGGGGAGTTTGACAAGGTGACATGTTTTCCCCCTGCTATTTGTTACCTTCATGGAGGGATACGCGACAATCATTCAAAAAGCAAATGATGAAGGAAAATTAGCAGGCATCAAGATCGTTACCAGGGCTCCACGGGTTTCACATTTATTTTTTGAGGACGACTCATACAAGGACGGGTGCAAGAGTCTGAGAATCTTCTTGAGGTTCTGAATGAGTATTAGGAACTCAGTGGTCAGAGGATCAATTTAGCAAAATTTGTTAGTAAGAATATTTTTCAACCTGCTCACACAATTATTGGTGTATGGGTGGTAGGGGTGCAAGACAAGTACTTGGGTCTTCCCATCCTGACTGCTTAGTCAAATATGGATATGTGCCGCTTTCTGGAGGAAAAGTTAATGCATCGACTGCAAGGATGGTTGCAAAGGACTTTATCATGGGCGACAAAGGAGACATTGATCAAATCAGTTGTTATTTCACTGCCATTACTTGCCTCGAACTCTCGCTCTCTCTTTGCCGAATTCTGGATAAGCATGTGGCCTGATTTTGGAGGGGATGGGGGAGAGGGTGGTTAGTCTCGTAACTGGTGGATTACTGGTGCAACATGTGCCGAAGCAAACACGATGGGGGGATGGGGTTTCATAGATTCAAACATTTTAATCATGTTATGTTGGAAAAAATTGCGTGGGGTATCCTTAACGAACCCCAGTCCCTCCTGACCCATGTTTATAAAGGAAAGTACTTCCCTTCAACATCCTTCCTTACTTCTACCGCACGCTCTAGACCCTCTTGGGACTAGTAGAGTATTTTGCATGGTCACCAATTACTTCAAACATCATTAGAATTTCATTTCCGCCATTAAACACCCAACTATGTTGAAAACTCCAATAAAAAAGCTCTTCAAGACTGTTGCCTTCTACAACAAAATCTTTGTACGGTTCCATGAAACTGAGACAATTTCCTATCCTATTAGACACCACATAATACCAATAAGATTCACCAACCATAAATTCAAATTGGCAGTGGACCTTTTTGTTTGATCCACCAACTTTGAACACACACCATGACACAGGAAAAACTTCTTATGTTAATGGTCATGAGTTCATAAGACTCATGCCATCGACAACAAACAAGTATAGGATTTGATAACACCAAAAACAAGTCTAATTATCCTTCCATAATTGATGTACACAAAGTCATCGAAAGGCTCAAGACATTAAATGTGGTAAGCGTAGGAGCAATTCGACACAAGCATGCATAAGATGAATTCATGAAGCACGTAGGTCCAAAGGAAAGTAAATACATGGGCCCTCGATCATGTATTTAAAAAGGCCATAGACTAAAGATATTACGAAAAAGGACATGGGGAAGGGTGATTTAATATTTGGTGGTGTGGGTATAGCAATATAGTGGCTAATTCGAGGCTATTTATACATGTTTACCCCTTTGTATCTTGATTTTTTGACTTGGTAATCGTCATTCCTCAACCATTTTATGCTAGGTTTTACTTCCTCTGTCAAATTTCAGGTCTTAGAATGTGTTCGAAGCTCGGGGTGAGATCTTGCACATTCAGAGGTCAAACAAGCCAAGAAGTGAAGGAGTTGTATGGTTCACTAGTTAGAGCAAATGTTCAATGCCTGGAGGGCGTGAAAATAACCCCCCCCCCACCCCACCCAACTGTAAACAAAGCAAGTTTCCAACAGGGTTAGTGCATCTTGTGGGCTATGCACACTTTTAGGGCTGCAAACGAGCCGAGTCGAGTCGAGTTTTTGCTTAGCTTGAGCTCGGCTCGTTTATTAATTTTTCAGCTCGAGCTCGGCTCGAACTCGAATTTTGATAATCCAGCTAGAGCTCGAGCTCGGCTTGAATAAAAATAATCTAGCTCGAGCTCGACTCGGTAGAGCTCGATAAATGCTCATTAACATAGCTTGTCAAGCTGAGTACAAGCTCGACTCAAGATGAGCTCGATTTAAAATCATTTTTGCTGGAAAAATGTATAAACATAAGAATTTAAATGATAGAAAGAACACTACAAACTATAAATAACATCTAAATTTCATACACATCTGTATTAGAAGACAATGTTCATGTTTAAAAGAGTAATTCATCCTTCCACAAGCTCAAAACAAGGCAGCTCGCGAGCTTAGCTCGACAAGCCACCGAATCAAGCTAGCTCGCGAGCTTATCAAGCTGAGCATGGTCTAGCTCAGGCTTGGCTCGTTAACTAACGAGTTGGCTCGCGAGCCGGCTTGTTAAATAACGAGTCAAGTGTCGAACGAGTTTTTTCCGATTCGAACGCCGAGTTGCTCGCGAGCGGCTTGACTCATTTGCAGCCCTACACATTTTACTGCCCGAGGGAGTGAAAATAACACCAAAATTGCAAAGTATGCACAAAACAGTGCGTTTTCCAGCTAAGATCACTGCTTGCACACTTCACGACCGTGGAACACTACACTAGGGCATGATCCTTGCACTGGTATGAGTATAAATTGACAACAACGGGGTTTTGAAAGAGGAAGATGGGTTTTTTTTATCATAAAACACCCAAGCGGCGACTCTAGAGAGAGTGGCCAAGGAGGATTCTTCCATTTGGCATGGGCTTATGGTGGCGGCCACCGCCACTGATTTTCTTCCTCTGGTGAGTTTCTTGGCCCACAAGTAAACTCTTTAATTTTGAGAGCGACTTGTTGGGTTAGGTCTGGCGGCGGTCCTACGACGGTTGAACCTTGGATTCTTTCCTCTTGGGCTCATATGAAGGCTTCCTCCAAGCCTTCATTTGGGGTTAGTTCAATGGATAAATTACTCTTTAATCTTCTGATAACTAACCCATTGATCCTCATATTTGATCCAATGATTGATCCAACTCATCCTTGATTGTGTTTGACATTGAAAAGCACAAAACTATACAAAAGGCTTTAAATGATACTAAAATACAACCTAGTTCTATTTTAAGCACATTGATCAAACAATTATGAAATTAATACGAAATATAGTAAAATGTAAGAAAGATGCGTCAATAGAAGGGGAAACATATGAATTACAGTATGCGATAAACACTATAATTTGAGCGTTATCGGAAATACTCCACATTTCAAATTTGCTTTTACCAAAGAAAACACCATGAATCATCAAATCAATGGATTGCAACTCCTCGGTTGC